TTGTAATATAAACACAATAGTATATCTAATTCCTTAGACATCAACAAGACCTCACAGGATTTTACTATATAACGGAAAGAAAATTTTAAAAAAATAAATAAATAACTCTCCAAACTTTAATTTTGTCATGTATGTTTCTTAGTTTAATTTCAGGATGAATGGACGCCCAATTACACTACAACGAACGACAGTTAAATTATTAGATATCCTCAACTTAAATTTCAGGGAATATGAAATATAGAAAGTAAAATGGGATGCCTGCAAGTGCCGTAGAGTGGGTATCTCGATCCAGATTGGTTGTTGAAACTTGGCATTTGTTTACGTTAGCAACTGTTCTTTCCATTCTATTTTGAGTAAACCAAGCCCTTCAAAAATCAATTCTCTTATGTAACACATTCTATTTTCCTTCACAAAGTTTTCAATTTTTTCACTGAATATTTCGTATTGAACACTAAGACAGGCACGAAGCCATGTCGAATATAAACGAACTAATTATGCACAAAACAAAAATATATAAAGGTTTCAATAAAATACATAAACAAATAAAAAATAAAAGTTAAAAGACGTAGAAGAGAAATAATTATAGTTTAATGAATTCGATGTGCGACACGGCATTGTATGTAATTAACTTCACGTTAATTAACATTCTGACTTATGTGGAAAGACTTAGTGCGTCATCTTGTTTATAAACGATCAACTGGCGCTGAGATCATCATAAGTCACATGACTGAGCATCAGCGATCTTCTTGAAGTGCAAGTACCCAGTTAGCTTTGTAATTTTTTAAGAATGATTTAAATTTTTTTCTGAAAATACAAATTATATTTCTGAAACATTTTCTGTTCAATTGAAAACGAAAACTGCAAACATAATTTATGCATTAGCTTTTATTCAAGAAGTAAAATATTAATAATTAAATGCATGTTAATTCTAAATTGTAAAAAATGTAATATAATTCGAATCATAATACATAAAAACAAGAGGGATAAATAGTAGAAAAAAATCAGCTATTTATTGGCATGTTTAGTTAGCTTGTTAAATATTGGAATTAAAAAAATTATTTTAATATTTTTGAACAGTTTTTATCGTCAACAGAACAGGTTAAAAGAAAGAACAAGTTAAAAGAAAGAAATATAAACAGTATTTTATATTTTATGTTCAAATTATCCCACTAAACGTGGCAAGTTGCTTGGATAAAGTTTTTTCCTAGAAGAACTTATTAATCAAATAAAAACAAAAATGGTTTCTAACAAAATAATCGTTTGCAACAAAATATAATAAGTTCAAACTTTATTAGTTTATAACTATCAAATATTCTAAAAAATAGTTTAATTAGATTTGATGAACTTACCTTCATTCCAAAACTCGAGTTAAGTTTTATTTCAGGAATTAAGAATGCTGTTAGATAGGCATTTAAAACATTTCCTACGTTGTCGCCATGTTTGTATTGAGTATAGTAAAGTTCTACGAGCTCTCTGCTTTCGCTTATAGCTCTGTATTTCAATAGGTAAGGCTTAATTTAGCCTATCAAGATTTATATGAGCTCCGAGGTTCTTCTTCAAATTCAGCCATGTTTGTTTACAAATGAAGGCAGATTTTCAGAGCGGTATTCTTCCGCACATGATCACTTCTATTTTTATGAATCGCAACAATGTTTTAATTTTAGTGTTTTAAGAAAATAAAATCGGGTTTTCAATTGCTTTATTTACAGAAATACTATTGAAAAACTTATTTTAGTTGACCATATTTATAAAAAATTATGAAATAAAATCAGTATGAAAATTTGCGATATTTCAGAAATGAGAAAGGCATGTTTTCATTTTTCAAACAAATCTACTCATTTTGAAATGAAAATGCGAGTTTACTCATATTTGAGAACTTAGTTTTTTTAATAGTGTTAAAATGCAGGGCTCGAAAAAACTCAGAAATTTTATCCGTCCCCGAGGACGGCTTGTCCAACAATGTACCCGTCCTCCTTTGAAACTAACCCGTCGCTTCTAAATAAATAAAAATATTATTTTTTCTTATTTTTTACAAACATTTATATAAATTATACAATGAATTAGTAGCTACTAGGATTACATTATACAGTAATAAAAGAAATACTAGATTTCTTATAGTAAAACCTAGTATTTCTTTTATGAAATAATTTAAATGACAAAGGTCAAGTTATCTGGAATGTCAATTTATCCGAGGGTACTGCGTTTTTTAAATGAATCAAATATGACGTTTGCCAGTTCCACAATCAAGCCTATGATTTACAGAGGTTTCTGCACAGAAATCTGAAATTGGTTTTCCATTTAGGTGGATGTTCATATTTGCGTTTAACGCTTACGTAATGTGTTCATTGCTGAAAAGTCCCTTTTAACTGCCGCAGTACTCCCAGACGGAAAAAACATCAATCCACCATGAGCAGTATGTTGCTGTACGGGATTTCTAGATTAGAGGGTCATTTTAGAAGTGAGGCGCTAGACTCTTGTAAGATAACAAAAATTGAAAGTGTATCCCGAATATTAACGGGAAAATGGCCGTCCGCGCGGACGTCTGATTCGAGAAATTCGTTGTCCGCCGAGGACGGGCGGTTTTTCGAGCCCTGTTAAAATGCTCATCGTTATGTGGCTCCAAATATTGAATTAAACAAATTTCTTTTAGATTAAAAAACATATCTACTTCGACATTTAGAAAGCCTAATATATCATATTAAAATAAAACGATTTTTTTCACTTGTTACATTTGTTTTAGTACCGTTTTTGTCATGTTTATGCAGTGGCCCTCATCCCCTCCCCCATAAAAAAAATTGCTAACTTCCTCCTTCCATGTTAGCTCTCCCCTCTGCGGAGGATCAAAATTGTGATGGCATGTTTTCGGATCATCCTCAGGGATGTTTCCTAGACCGTCGCCAATAGCCCATTGCGCAGCTCTAGTGCGACGTAAATGAACAAAACAAATCCATGTTAGCTTGTTCGAAATAGTGCTACTTTGCTTGCATTCTACTCATAATATGACAAATGCAGACCTTGCTTCTTTTATTTATGTATTTAAAAAAAAAATTCTCTTGTCTAAATTCCCCCCCCCCAAACTATTCGTTTTATTTAGTGTAAAAATTCCCTCCCCCCCAAACTATTCGTTTTATTTAGTGTAAAAATTCCCTCCCCCCCCAAGCTTTAAGTGGGCGCAACGAGCGCCCACCTTCCCCCTGATGGGGGCCCCCGTGTTTATGTTTTATCACTAGAAAATTTGCTGTTCTTTCATATTGTTGATTTATAAAAATGCAAATATCTTCTACCATTCCATCGCAGCCATTCAATAAGTTTTCACTTCAACGTTCTTTTTGCCACTCAGACAAATTTTAAAAGTAAAGTTTTAATTACTGAAAACTCTATTTGCTTGTTTATAGACTGTGAGGACTTAACACTGTTTTTCGAAACTGTCACTCAGGAAAAAAAATCCTAAGTTAAAGTGATCTTGAAGGAATGTCGCGGCTTTAGAACAGACAAGTAACTTAAATATTTTAGAAGTAATTAAACTTGTTTAAAAAAATCGCTAATTTGGCGACATTTTTCCACCTAGATGAAAATTATCAAAATCGCTGCCTTATTCTCAGTTTTTGCAAATTTTTATGAACCCTGGTAATGCAGCATTGGAGTAAGTTTTTAAATATTAAAAAAAATTAGACCTCAAACGCTTATCATTATTTCAAAACTGTGGCTTTACTCCATTTTAAAGTTTTGAGCCATTTTCAAAATGAGCGTAGACGGTACTGGCTTTAGATAGGCTAAACTTGACCTGACAGACAGTTGCAAACTCACAGCAGTTATAAAAATAACATTTAATAACACATAATATTTGCTAAGAAAGACATTTCATATTACGACGGAACCTTCGTAAAAAAAAACCTTAATAAATGTTTAATAGTACAAATCTTATTAAGATTTATTTTTTTACAGGTAATTTTCATTTACCCAATTATGTTCTTAATCTTAAGGCTTTACACATGTTTTACTAAGCCAAATTTTTACAATAATAATCTCAGTCTGGCTGTATTAAAGTCGCAGACAAGTTTAAATTTAATGAAGATAGTGCTGCAAATTGATTCAGTAAATTCCGCTACCGCACCGTGGGCCAGAAGACTATGATCTTAGGCCAAAAGTAAAAAAATTTTTCAACTAAAATATGCGTAGGCAGTTTTAATATATCCCATATTAAGTATTCATAATCATTCCAAACATTATAATTTACTTTGTGGACCGACAAGAGTAAAATTTAATTTTTTTTTTTTTTTTAATGTAACCTTTAAATTTTTACTTCAGAAATATATATAGGAATTTCACCATACTGTTACATTTTTATCAGAGTAATTAGTGTTAAATTATAGTAAAATTTTTCAATTTGTTGGATAAGTTAATACTCTTGACAAACTTATAGTTGACATTTTTCAATGTTTGAATGACTTTTGAAAATTAGTTCCAAAAAGTTCCACGAGGTAATTAGCTAAACTTTTTTTTGTTGTCTTCTCTGAGGTTTCTTCTTTCGAAAAAACATGCCCCATTTTGCCTGTTACTGCTATATATATCGAAAAACAAATACGTATTAGGCTTTTTTTCATGTTTTCGCGTTATTATATAATATTACTTCAGAAATGTAATTTTCATTTCATTTTTAATATAAAATTACGAAAATTATTATATTTTCATTGCTATATTTAATTATTTAAGTGTACTCTATAAATTTTTTATTTTTGGTCGCCATTTTTTTTTTGGGGGGGGGGTAATTTTAGTGTATTTCAAAATTTTAAATATGAATTCAATTTAGCTGCACATAAAAACCCCTAAATAAAAATTTTTATAGAATTACTAATTTTGGACAAGAAACCTTGGATGCTGACCCACTGTGTACCGGGAGGAATACCTTTTTCGCGAAGCCCACTAAGTTACCGATTCTAAAAAATTTATAGGAAAATAACAAAAACAAATTGCAAGATTTAACAATGAATAAAACAAAATGGGATTTCATCATGTCCTTTATTACATGAAGTTTGTATATTTGTGACCAATGACTACATGAGGCACATATTTTGACATTATAAACTCATACAACATTACTTAACTCAGAAGTAAACAAGAAAGCAAAAATGGGACTAGTTGATGATATACATAAATTGAATGTACAAATGAGTATTGTTAAGTACACAAAAATGGCAAACAAAACAAAATTTTAAAAAATAGAACAAATTTCATCAAGCTCAAAAACAAATTATCAGTATCACTAGAAAACTAGTGGTATTATAATTAAATCAAGCAAAAGGGGCCTCTTATAAACATCATTCATTACCTCACCATCAAAATTAAAATAGCTCTATTTCCAAATTTAAAAGGGGGAAAAAAATACCCACTTTTGCTTCAACTAATTTTAAGAATTTTAGGATTAAATCTAAAAAAAAAAGTGTAACTTAGTATGACGTAAAATTTACGTCCTTAAATATATATTTTATAAAATTTTGAAACTCCTTGAAGCAAGTCTTTTCCAAAATTAAATATATCAAATTCAAAAATTTTTTTCTTGTGGTCTTAAAAAATTTGATGATAAAGGGTTATAGGTTCTCGTGCAATCATTACTCATATCCTTATCCTCAAAAATAAGCAACAGAATTCCACTTTATGCGTTTACGTAATATTTAAACGGGCCTTAAACTTAACTTATTTACTAAAATGTCATTAAAAACCTTTACAGCTCTTCCGGTTTGAGAACAACTTCCGACACAATTTGATGATATTAATCTTGGTACTGCCTGAATGGGTAAAGTAGCATTTCGTGTTTTATCTTTAAATTAATGGTTTACATTAAATTGTTCCCAATATTTTTTTAACTTTTCAGTTTTTAAAACCATTACTATCAGAATTAATTTATAAACTATTGATAAGCAATATTCAAATGATTTAAGTAAACTGAAAATCTAACGTTTACACTGAAGAATCCAATAATGGCAACAAAATTTCAGGTTTAAAAAAATAGGGTTTAACTTGTGTTAAATGCAAAATCCTCATTTCTTGTCGTGTAAAGAAATTATTTTATAACAAAAATTCTAATTTTTGTGTATTATCTAAATTTGCAAAACATATTATAGATTAAAAATTAAAATATAACAAAAAATTTAAAAACTATGACTGACAAGCATTGGTTAAAATCAAGACTATTTAGAATGGTTAGTGAAACATTTTAAATCTTATAAGCAAACATAAGTGCAATTGTAAATTTAAACTCTTATAGTGGCACACTTATATATTTAGTTCAATACAATCTAATAATACTGAGAATAAAACAAATTGGGCAATAAGGTTTAGTTTCAATTTGGTATAGTACTTAGGTTACTTTATAGAATCTGCACCACTTAGAAGGAAGATGCTAAGAATATCACAAGTCAATCGTATGCAAATGCTTTATAACATAGAATAATCATTTTTTTTGTCAATTATGTGTGGCTATCAAAACTGAATTTTTTATTTGCGAAAAATTTAACTGGTACAGTTTTGCACATTATAAAAATAAAATTTTTGGCTTAAATTTTAATAAGCAGAATATTGTGATAATCTTGTTTTAGAGCAATCTGTATTCATACAAAAATGACAGAATCAGGGATATATTTAATTTTTTTTTTTAAAAACTAAAACTTATAATTTTAAAAACAGATATTATAATCAGGGCAAAATTTCTTTTAGATATAATTTTATTTTAATAAATTACCATATGAAATAAATAGAAGTTGAATAATACTTCAAGCACATATCAGGATGAATCTAAAAAAATAGGGACCAACGAAACTCAACTTTGGTATGATACTATGGTACCAATGGGGAAGTGGTTCAACACTAATATCATATTTACAAAGGGGGTTCTAAGCTCAATTTTGAACCAATTATTTCTTAGCATAGAGTTATAACTTAACTAGCTAATTTAGGAACAGTAGGATATTTTAACGTATCTAAATTTCAGGGAACAAGTCGTACAATAACTCAAAACAACTACGTATATTCATGGAAGATTTTTATGTGTGTAGCTAATTTTCCCCATTAGCTACACTTTTCAGAGAGGCACACATTTTAGAGGCCCATGTTCATGTGCTGATGAAAATGTGCGAGATTCAGACAGGCTGAACATGAATCATGATATTGATTGTTTGTGTGCTTAGAACGCACCATCACACTTTTATTACATATTTTTGTAAAGGATAACCTCTTACAAAAATATAGCATTTTGATATCTATCACTGTAAACCATGTTTTCAATTTTTTTTTCTTTTTTTTTAAGAATCAAAATTTTTTATACAACATATATACATAGCTTTACATTTCAACCTAATTCAAATATGTACACTTGAAATAGAGTGATTCTGTACAAAATATAGACAAAATATACTTAATCAAAAAATATAACCAAGTTATTTACAAAGTTGGTGTAAAAAATGAACGTTTTTTTTAATGTAAAAAAGTTCAATTTGTAAGGTCACAATTTGGTGAGAGGAAAAGAGAAGTTTTGAAACTAGTTTTCATAATCATGTAACAAATACTGTTCGTTTTATTCTTTTTAAATCTAAGGATATTAAATTATTTTAATACTAGCCTAATTTAAAAAAATAAAATTGAAAACTAAATAATCTTAAACATAATTTTGAATATGACGCATTTAAAAAAAACAGCTACAATATTGCTTCTAAATGTTAAGTTAAAAATTGTGGATGACAACTATTATTGCAAACATTTTCATAAAATATGAAACTTTAATTATTATAATATAAGCATAAATCATTATAAATAAATCAGTTTTAATCTTGGTGAAAATAATTAAAATTTTAGGTTAGAATTTTAGAATAAAAATTCTGCCTTGTAGAAGAATCTATTTGCACATTTTCAAAATCGATATTAACTGTCATTTATAATAATAACCATGGTAACATGGTTAAAATTTTAATGGAATTGATGATTAAAAATAAAAAATTTCTCCTAGTACAATTTTATTGTACATTTATAAGTAGAATTCTAAAATTTTTTAGTTAGCAAATCGAATAAAGATACATTAAAGGTTGCATACATATTTAATTTCGTATGCATAATTGTTATCCAAATAAACTTAATTTTTTTTCTTCTCATTTACTTTAAATTTGGAAAAATTAATAAATTAAAAAAAAGAAAAGGATTCATTACGTTAAAGAGTACTTTTTATTTTAAGCCTTTGGCTTAAAATTCCGAACTTAGGTTTCACTTTAATTTTTTAATAACCTATCCGAAAAAAAATTTTTTTTTTTTTAATAAAAATGTATTTATTCATTCAATTAACTTCCATTTTCTGTGACTCGCTGATTTTTACAGGAGATTGTTCAATACCGTTCCGCTCCCGGAAAAATCCGCTGCTTGTTGAACATTCTCGTACAGTCACCGTAATTTGATTCGATGTGACATCTGTAATGAAAATATTGTCCACTACGGAATTAGGCTTTAACCAGATTTCCGGGGGCGCTACGGCGCGAATGTGATGACGAGGTTCCGCGCAGCTGGGCGGCTTGTTGTCGAAGAACACGCGGTTGCAGTTGTCGTGTTTCGGCTGCAAGAGACTTGAGGGGGCAATTCGTGGGGATGAGGGAGGGGGGAGACCGTTGGGTGGAACATCTGGTTTTGCCAATTCATTATTGTTCTCTTGATCAGAGTGGTTAGCGGGTGATTCCGCCTTCTCCACTACAACGTTCTGTTCTTCACAGCTGTCTGTGTTATCACTGTTTGTCAAAATAGTTCGTCGGCCCGTCACACTGCCAATAGTTTTAGGGGACTGGCTAATTTTGCCCACTGTCGACGAGGAAGAACTTTTCCCGGGCGTTCTTCCGACGTTCGATTTTTTGTTCGTATTCTCCGTCAACTTCTTCGACGCTTTCGCCTGATTGAGTTCGTCGGGCGTAAGAAATTTGGGGCTCTTGGCAACCATCCTGGGGCCTTTGCCCTGGGGCGTCGGAGGGTGACCTTGGGCAGAAGAATCGTCGCGCTTCGATGGCTCGCAAACTGGATTGGCAATTGTTTTGTCGTTTGTTTCAACTTCGGCCGTCGGTGTGGGACTAGAACTGCCGTCATTACCATCCACATCAGCTTTTTCCTCCTCACTGCTCCCCTCCACCGATTCATCGCGTTTTCGCTTGAGGCCCGTCAACGGGGGGAGTTTATCGGCATCCACCTTCGCCTCCTCTTCTTCGGGAATGTCTTGAGATTCATCCGCCTCCTCCTCTTTGAAATCACTATCGTTTGCGGGCTGCGGAGTAGGAGAGGACTCTTCGGGGGAGGAGGGTCGACCAGACTCCTCCGCTTCCCCCTTTTCTTCCTGCTTGATGTCACCATCTGCTTGGGGAGAGACGACAGCGGCGTTTCGTATCTGCAAATAATACAGGAGAAAATTATTGGCAATCATCAGTAAACGGGAGAAAGTACCCTCATATATACATAAAAGAGGGGTGGATACAAGGGAAACGGTAATAACAATGATAAAGCAGGCAATAGTTGGTTGGTGGGGGGTTATAATTGGAACAGTTTCGGACAGCTTTCTTTGAATGAAATATGAGAGAGGTAGAATGAATCAGAAACCAGTTTGAAATAAAGATAATGAGATAGCTGTTCAAACACCCTTCATGGAAAATTAAATACTGTAAACGGAATGTGGTAAAAGTTTTTTTCCAATGGGAAATGATACACCTTTTAATCTAAATCAAAATTATTAGCAAATCGGAGAAAAAAAGATTTCATTTTTAATGGCGAGTTTAATTTTTATAAATATTAATAAAAAATACATATATGTCACGATAAATAATTGAAATCCGTTTTAGCGTGCAGTAATTAGTAAAATTTTATTGTTTGTATAAAATTAAAAGAGATAGTATTAAAAATTAATATTATAGAATATTTATCTAAAGAGGGTTTTTAAAAACAATCCATAAAATTTAAGAAAATTTGAATCATTTATAATCAATTTAATAATAGTGCATTCACCCTCAACCCATATTCAAATGGCTATTTTTTTCTCTTCAAAATTTGGTTACTCCATACAATAAAACAAGGTCTTAAATTAACATTTCACATGCACGATGTAAGTTATATGTTCTCCCACATGGCTATTTTTATGGCATATGTGGAGTTCATGACTTTTATATAAGCTCATTAATTTTTTGTTAAAATTGGCTTGATTTAACCTTTCCATGGGATTAAAGAAATATAATCCCTTTCAAAATTGGTAGTTTATGTCATTCTCTCAGGCAGTAAAATTAACGGAAACAAAATAAAATGCTTATCATACTTCACCAATAATTGGAAATAAGGTGGAATGATGTTTCTTGGTTAAATATTCAAATATAATTCTTGAGTTTATTTTCATAATTTGGTATGCTAATAATAAATTATACAATAATAACCATTTCTGAAAAACCGACCAAAATTTTAAGTTTACGACTACCAATATTCAATTCTGTAGGTGGTTAAACATTTTCTTTATTCCTACATTTTGAACACCATTATTCAAAAATTAATCAAACATGAGATGGCAAACTTATGGCACATGTGACATATGATGTATATGTGGCTCATAGGTAACTACCTCTCACAGGGTATCTGTAATTAATAAATTAAATGTAAAATTGACTGTAAGAAACCATAATGTTCCAGATTTATGTGTTATTAAAGACAATAAGCTATGATTCGTCATAGAAACATGGCTAATAAGATTCAGCAACAGACAGTCATACTAAATGGGATATTGTATAAAGTTTTTAAATATATTGCAGTTTATCCTTATAATATAAAAAAACAATTTTAAAAAGAAAAAGCTTATCTTGTTAGGCATTTTAAAAATGTCAATATTCTTTAAAAGAAAATAATTAATACATTTAAAATTGTATTGAAACAATCTCATTTTTTATACTTTTATTTTTTAAAAATGAAATAGAACAAGAATATTTGGCTCATTTACAGAAAAAGGTTTGCCATGCTCTTTAAGCTACTCATCAGTTCCTACGATCTTGATTTAAATAGTTAGATAGTTTAAAAAAAATTTAAAACAAGGAAAGAAAAAGTTCTTTACCTGCGTTAGATGCTTCGGCTTACGACCTCTTTTCTGTGGCCCCACTGAATTCTTTTCTCTGAAATTTTAAAAATAAAAATTCAATATTCAGGTATAATTCTTCACCAGATGTAAAATAAAATACTAAGTTACATAGACATAGCAATTTTAAAATTGAATTAACCATTTTCCTTGGGTACTCAACTGCTGGTTGGAGAGTATGTAAAAATGACACTTTTTTAATAGCTAGTCTTTAACACTTTCCAGGTAGTAATTATTTGTAGTAGTAGCTAACAATAAATAATTCTTCAATTGGGTACTTGCACTTCAAAAAGACGATCACAAATACCCACACTTGTTACCCATGAAGTCAGCGCCAGTTGATCGTTTATAAGCAAAATGGCATGTTAAAGTTCAGCCAAGTTTCTTTAAGTTAGAATGTTAATTAACATGAACTTAATTAAATACAGCACCATATAGAACATTAAATTTGTTGATATATAATTCTTTCTTGTAAATTTCTTTTACTTAACTTAGATTTATCATATATTCATGTATTTTATTGTAATCATTATACATTTTTGTTTTGTGCACATGGCAGCCTCAATACATAATTAGTTTGTTTATGTTCTACATAACCTTGTGTCTCACTTTGTGTTAAGTAAGAAATATATAATGAATGAATTGAAATCTTAGTGAAAGAAAATAGAATAAGTTGAAAAAATTACAAAGATGGGAAACTGATTAGAAAATGTTCGCAATTTAAGATAAGATTCAATATTAGTAATTTCAAAATCTCTTAAATAAAATAATAATAAAAAAGTAGAATTTCAATAACTAATAAATAAATGCACAAAAAAAATGAAAGTTTCAGAAGTAAATTAGCATAGTCTCTCAGTTCACTAAGTTGACAAATCTGGTTAATTGAACATTTCAACAATTTCACTTCATTATTAAAAAAAAAAAATATTCATGAGTGCTGAAAATTTAAAAACTACAAATCCACCAGGAAAAATAAAATGCTTAAATACTTTCTACAGTCAGTTTGCTATACCTAGAATGAAAAAGTCATTCTTCGTTAGAGAAGAATGAAAAAATCTTCATGTAAATGAAAATGAAGAATGAAATTCAAGTAAATGAAGAATGAAAAAGTCTTCATGATTTTAGAGCTACCTACAAACAAATCATATAGATATGCTGCAATTTTTTTTTAAAGTGGAATTTTGCTTGGTAATAAAAATTAGTATTGGAACGGTTATAGTAAAATAAATCAAATTAAAAAAATATTTTTCATAAATATAATTTGCATAATATTTTTTAATCAGAACCTAAAATTATTAATTAAAAAGTTTTTCTAATTTCAAATGCAGCTGATCATTTCAATTGGAGTAAACAAATCAATTTGTAAATGACCCCACAGTTAACCATTTTAAAATTATTGAGATCTATATTGTTTATACAGAGTTTTCCCAAGGAATAAAAAAAGGCAAGGCACTTCCTCTCTGAAAAAGACACTTTTAGTTTTGACAAGGCACTCACTTAACATCATAAACATTTATCAAAATGTGTAACATTATGTAATAAATGAATTTTATCCTCAACAATTTTTAATCACCTCTCACACCAATTTATGAGTACGTTTGAAAAAATAATTTTTTCTCGTAATCAAAACATGAGAAAAATTTATTTTTTATTACAATAATTAATGGCATGCTAAAAGACAATCTCTGTGCATATTTTTTTAAAAAAAAGTGAAGTACAAAAAATAATTTTTATTTAATAATTAGTTTGAAATATTTTTTCTATAATTTTAACTGAAAACTATTAAGAACGGAACATTTAAGGGCTCAATTAAAAAAAAAGGGTATTTATGTAAACAATAGTTTTAAAATTTTATTAATACCCTCCCCCCTTCTGAAAAAATATGCATATAAAAATTTAACCAGTTTGGGAATAAACCTAACAAAGTAAATATTTATAATGAATTAAATTTAAACAAAGATAATTTTACCAATGAGTAGCTATTATTTAAACACTGAATTAGTTTTTTTCAAAATTTATTTTTCAAAAAAGGGCAAAGAAGGTGCATCTATTAGGATTAAGGGGACAAGCAGGGTGGGCTGCACTTCAAAAAACGCTAGGGAGAACATAGGTTTATATAACTATAATTGTTTATATGATAAATAATACGAAGAAAAAGAGATCACATCAAATTTTTGTGTAATAACAAATTTAGATCACCCTTATAAAATTTCATGGTAGTAGAAAATTTTAATTATAAAGTTTTTATTATTTTTTTTATAATTCAAACGTTTTCCAAATGCAGAAACAAATAGGGAAAAATGCACAAGACGCTTCAATCACTCATGTATACCTAGAGTATGGTTCCCCCAAGATTAAACGCTGAAATATTTGCAATTTTAGACTTGTCTATTAATTAGAGAAGGGGAAAAAATAGAATTCCGCTGATCTGCGGAAAAATGGCAAGTTTGACCTTATCCTAATTAAATTTAACGAATAAAGAAGACAGGAAAATTTTGATTGACTTTCCTTAACTCATATGGAAAATCTTAATTTGTAAATATCCCCCAGGTTAAAGGATTGTGGCACTGATGAAAAAAGAAACAACAGTGCACTAGTATCAATATCATCAGCTCGTTAAGGATGGAGAGGGAGGTTGACGCACAAAGTTAGCTTGCATCACAATTTTAAAGTATTTAAAACACCTCCTTAAACTGATTTATCATTTACATAAGAGGACCGAAAAGGCTAAAGTCTTAAAACGGGCTTCCTACTCAATTTCAGAAAGAAAGAAAAAAAAATCCCAGACTTTTCCCAGGTATATCAGGTAAATTTCTATGGAAATCCAAACCCTATTTTAACTATACCATGCGATTTTTCATCCAAAAACTGTAATTTCTTTTTATTATTTGTAATATCAAATATTAGATTATGTTAGCAAAAACACATAAAAGAATGAGAATGGAAACACAGAAAAGTTTCACTAAAAAGTGAATTCCACTTTTAATATAGATACATATTCCATTTTAAATATAGATATACTTTATAAAATAATCATAATAGATGTTAGAATTATTTAACTTGAATATCGATAACTAATTACTGTTGCTGATAATTTGTTATTTTCAGGTATGATATAGGAATCTTCCAGGTTATCTGTTAGGAGCATTCCCAGCTTTTTGGAGTTAAAATAAAATACCCTGACAATTCCAGGATTTCCCTGACCCGTGGGAACCCTGTTAAAAAGAGACCAAAATGGACTTTACCCAAGAAAACAGACTTAGGAGGGAAAAAAAAGGAGGACCATTTAGGGCCCAGCGAGTATTACCATTTTGGGGAGATATAAAAACACTCATTGTTATAATGATAGTAGTATCTATCGAAGTTTTAAGTTAAAATAAGCACAGCAAATAATAATAATGATTGATAAATAATATTTTAGTTTAAGGAAGGAATCTCCCTAAACCTGAGTAAAACTTAGAACAAGACTATATTTACTGATTTGTAAGCATTTAACAAAAATAATTAAATAAAATATGAAACCAAAAATTAATGAATATAAGTGCTAATATTTAATAAATTGATTACATGGCCGGATGTGTGTTCTATAGAGATAAGTTTGGGCTCGACTTAGCAGGCCTTATACTTAATAACTGTACGAAACATTTGCTTAAAGTAACAAAAAAGTTTATGAAAATTCAATCAACAGACAGAGTCTGCCTGAGCCGGAAAACTTGAAGCAACAGCCGGGAACGTGTTAATCTCATCTCTAGCACCCTCAAAATTGCATGGTCAAAATCAGAATAAAAAACACATTACCTACATAACATGTATGCTCGAACAAGGCCATATTGCCCACATTAAAGAGAATTCTAGCAGGGGCCATATTTTATACAGCTGTAATTTCTTCACTCGAATATAATCAAATCAAGAATTGAAAATAACAATGTGAAAGCTAAGAAACAAAATCATTTAATCGATATTTATCATTGATATAGGTAGCTATAACATTTATTTATTTGAAAATAAATTATAGTCTAAATTTTGGTTGATTTTTTATTTTTTTGCCAAAAAAAGGTATTTAAATGTGTTTTATTGAATGAAAAAAAAAAAGTTTTTAGTAGTTTTTTTTTTTTTTTTTAAAAATTTGTGTAAGTTAAGGGGGCTACCTATAACTGATATAAAACTTTCAGAAAATGCAATTTTTTAATATAGCAAATGCAATGGACAAACATAAAACTAGAGGACAACAATTTTGAGTGAAGCGCCACTTGAGCAACAAGTTGAATAACGAAGGGCTGCTCACGTATTTAGACATGTTGACGATAAATACGATCAATTTTATTAAAAACATTGGTATTCTGAGGATTAAATTTTATTATTAAGAATGGTAATATATTATTTAAAGAAAATTAAATACTATAAATTAATAAAAAACAGATTACTTTTTAAAAAAATATTTTCTCCCTTTTTTAACAAAAAATTTATATATCAATTTATAAATACAGGGCCAAATTTACTACCGTTTAGCGGTACCTTCACAAATTCAAATTTAGGAAAAACGGAATAAATTTTCTTCAAATTTTATTTTTGTATCCCGTAAGAAACATGAAATTCATATTTTTGTGTTCGATTTTTTAATATAATTTTTAAATTTTACAAATTATGCCTAAATTTTCACAAAATAGGTACCTCTCAGAAAAACCAAGACAGATCCCTGATATATATATATATATATAGAGAGAGAGAGAGAGAGAAAGAAAAGGGTTTTCTTATATCACGTAATACAAAATTTCATTTTAAAATAAATTCTATAAGAAAATAACAAAAATATGCAAGACTCACAGAATGAAAGTATAAAATAAGTATTTTAATGAGTAATATAAATTGTAAAATAATGTTTAAAAGAAAATTTATATGGTTTAAACAAAAAATTAAAACACAACCATTATAATAAAAAATATGATTCTATATTTATTTGTTACTATACTTCAGATGATATTTCTATCTCTTGGAATCATTAGAGGTTTCATAAATTTTAAATAGAAATCATTTTCTTTTTTTTTTCTAAATAAAACCACCTACAAAAAATTACAAACAGTAGGCATCTAAAAAAGTTCAGATTTCGAAATTTTCACACTACAATAACATTGTATTAAAATACCGGTATTCAAATACCTAAATGCGTAGCGCTGACGAAAATACGGTGCAAAAATAAATTGGATTTACAATTAAATGGGCACAAAATTTTATCAAAAAGTTAATATTTAATTGCACAATTAGAAACTCACATGTCATAATAACACTGTAGTTAAAAAAAAGAATCTTTAAAACCACAAGGAAAAAAGCATAGCAATAATTGTACAGAAATAAAACTTGTTTGAATTTACATTTAAAGTATGAATAAAGTAAAGAGCGTCAATAAGTAGTTATTGAAATGCGTTATTTAATATTAGCATGTTGTAATAAAAATCATAATCTTTGAAACACGTGAGGACGTAAATCTAAAAAAATGGTGGAAAAGTAATGGTGAGTTCACGATGAAATCGCAACAAGACAAAAAGGGATTATTTAAATGTGTTTGAAACTCGAATATCATAAAAATATCTTGAGAAAAATACCAGATTTTAGAAATCAGATGGAAAAGAGTAGCAATAACTATCTTTAAAAAAAAAGAAAGAATGAAATCAGTGTAAATAAATCACATAAAAAAGTGATAAATTAAATGTACGAGTTATAACAGCGTATTAAACGTATTTGGATTTTAAAAGCCATGTGGAAATTAGTTACAACTGCCAGAAAAAAAAGAGAAGAAAATATTGAAAAATGATCGGTTTTATGACGAAATCAGCAAAAATAAAGCGAGTCAAAAAGTGAGAGGCGATACTTCAGTATCATGATCTGTTGTGTCAAATAGATCTTAAACTTCCAGTTTAAAAAAAAAAAAAAACATGTAAGTGTTTGCCCGGGGGTGACTATAAGTCATACCTTTAGAGTTGATCCCTTTCTGCGATTTTCGTTACGGCCGCTGTCCAGAAGGTAAAGATTTAGCGATTATTCTGCCACAGAACAAGACACGGAAATCGTCCCAAGTGATTACGCAAATTCGAAACTGGCGTATTGTTATTGTAATATCATATTAAAAATATTGTTTTAATTTTTTTTTTAAAAAAATTTACGCAGAATTCCAAAGCAATTATCGCAGAAGAAGCAATTGAGAAACAATATAAATATACAACAGAGTCTGCGTAAATCGAGCAAATCAATTGATGAGTCAAATGTGAGATTCAAAATGCTTCAATTTAAAAAAAAATTTTTTTTTTCTTGTTCCATCGTGTTTAATTAATAAATTCGAAAAATTTACATAGGTTGCTTAATTAAAAAGAGAAAATTCTGAACTGTTAAATTAAATTATTCCTATGTAAGTCTACTGTTGTTCAATGATAGTTTCGAATGAATATTTTTTTAAAAATAGAAATAGCCTCAGACTTGAGCAATATCGCTTCAAAACATGCTACATTTCAAAATCCTACATATTTGCCCTGTGGCAGAATTTATTCTAGCAATCTGCGACAAAACTCTCTAGCACTAATATCTTTCTGCAAGATTACTTTTAGTAATAACAAACATATGTTACTAATTTAAAATTACAAAAGCTGTGTTTACAACAAAAAAAGAAACAATGTCAGGGGAGGGGACGCACCAACTCTCATCACAATAAAGAAAATAATTAAAACTCATGATATGCGTAGTAGTAATTGGGGAAAAGGTTAGTGACAAAATCACACGAATCGGACTCCTCAAATGCGTGTTTCATTTCCAGATCAGGTTGTCATAATAAACAATGTCATATAAAAAATATCAGATTAAAAAACTACGGAGAAATCAATAGAAATAACTGCCAAAAATTCGATAGAATTATCGCCTTAAAAGGTAAATACTCGAATGCCTGATTTGAATTTTCTAAATTATTTGAAATACATAGAGTTTAAAAATCCATGCGAAAGTCAATATCAATAACTGCCGAAAATACAATCGAAACATTACATCGATTCACGTTACTATCAGAGTGAATTGAGCACATCAAAAAGTGATTATCTAAATTCACGATTCAAATATTATGTGGAAATTTCTGTAGAAAAGAAAATTGTATATTTCACTTTTCAAAGAAAAAATCTTTCTGCAACAATGTCGCTGTGACTCTGCCATGGGGCATATTTGTTACTCCAAAATTTATAATATTTTAAAAAACTTTTTTTTCAATACTGAAACATTCAATATTATACTACTTTTAACAGATAAAATTTTCAGAAAATATGATTTTTGAAAATAGTGAATGTATTTGACATATGTTACATTATAATGTAAAGTAGAGCATTCCCGCAACAGCGGGTTGTCGATCAGGGAGGTGGCTTTTGTGACCAACTGGATGATTGGTACCCTTTCGTGACAAGCTGGTACCCAATGATCTGAAGCTGGGTGAGCTTCCAACCACAACTGGGGGAAGTTACATTATAAGTATGTCGACAAATTTAAAAAACTGGGAATGTTATTTAATTAAAAATAGAAAATAATGAACTGTTTAATTATATCAATGCTATGCAAGATTCTGTTTTACAAGTCTAATAGTATCAAATGAATACTTTTTTAAAATTATTAATTCCATCAGATTCCAGCATTAATGTTGGAAAACATGTTTTGTTACTTTTTTATCATGATAATTAATAAAAAATATAAATTTGTTACAAAACTTTAATAAAATGTAAGAGAATAAACTTCAAAGTTATTGTCTCTTATAGGAATGTTAAGGTAAATAACTGCTGAGAAACCTTACAAATATCTACAAGAAACATTTTATATTTACAAAATCTTAAAGTTTACGTAACAGAGATGATACTTTTGCAGTCATTAATAATTATTAACTTTTATACAAATCTCAGAGCAATGATATAATACAAGTTATATTAATTCCGAATTGTTTACTTGCAAGTACGAAAAGTTTATTACTGTAGAATTGTATCAATTTTAACACAATAACAGAGCTGACTGAACGTTTATAGTTTTTATACGGTTTTCTATACCCAAATAAAATATAAAAACAATAAAATTATTGCATCAATTACGTTCTAAATGGAGCAAATATACGATGAAATCAACTTTAATATTTAAAAGTATAAAATTTTTCACCTATATTTATCCAATCAACAAGGAAAAAATCGTACAAAAAAGAAGACTATACCTAAAAAATAAATCCAAAACTTTACTAAAAATGTTTTATCAATATTACTAATACGAAATTTTAGTCTCATGGATAATTCATTTAAAATCAGTATACTAAATACAGAAGAGTTTAAATAACTGATAAATTATTAATTTTATATTTACGGCACATATTACAAATTGTTTACACATGGCTGTCATCGATTAATTAAAAAAATAAGGCAATGTTTATTTTTGCATAAAAATTTCGTATAATATTTCATGCTTATATTTATAATACCATTGCGCATGCTCAGATTAGCGCCATATTGATTTGCAAGCAAAAATAACTTACCTTGCATTAAATGCATCAATAAGTTGAGAATCGATTATATTTTCCTTCGGTTCCCATGTATTGTGCCTGTGTTAAATAAAAGTAATCCATAAGATCTCATCGTAAATCACAAGTAATCACAAATATAATCACGTAAACACTAATTATCCAAAATATACTAACTTTTGGCTCCAACCCCTCCATTTTATCAAATATTCCACTTTGCCCTAAAATTAAAACATAAAATTAGGAGATTTAATATGAATGACGTCATCTAATTGGCAAAGCATAATTATCTATCCTCAAACGTGCAAAAAAAGGCATGAAAAAAAAATCCACCGAAGTTTGTTTACCTTCCGTATGCGCTTTTTCTTAATGCACTGGGCAGTGAAAACGTTAGGACCTAAATTTGACATGTCGGTATCAGATTCATCATCAGATGCCATTCCTTAGTTACATCAGGCTAGTTAAAGCCATGATAATTTGATTTCAATGAATAGTGCTCACTTAAAATATATCTCTAACTTAAACACGGTTCAGTTTCAAAAATATAACAAGGATTACACTACGTCACGCACCTAGTAAACAGAACAAAATTCTGATTGTTCAAAGAAATTGATATGGGACAAGCTGATAAGGTTGCCATAAGTAAAGGATTTCGTCGCCAAAGATTAACATTTTGGCGATAGTGTAACTGAATTGAAGGCATAGTTTTGCAAAGGAAACACAAAATGGGATGAAAAAATATAACTAAAAATAAAAAGAAAATATTTAATAAAATAATGTAAATATTTCATAACGGTTATAGAAACGTAACTCATCTGCACGTAAAGACGTTTAAATAATATTGGTGATGCAATACCGGGGAAAATTTAAAAATTGATTGATAGTTAATGTAAAATGCTAACGATTAGACGGTATTTATTCGATGATTCTGTTTCTCAAATAAAATTTAGATTGGCTCAGCGTGGTAGTTTAAAATTAACTTTTTTCAATTTTTTTTTAGGTAAATAAAATTTTTTTAAATATTTTTAAGTTGTTTTTGCCGGAACTTTCTTTTTTAACATTTAAAATTAGGAGTTACCCATTTTTTTTGTNTTTTTTTTTTTTTTTTTTTTTTTGAAGGGAGTTGAAATTTTTTTTAAATTTTTTATTTCTAGTACAGGCAAAACTTCGGCCAATTACCGACTATCCTGCGGCCGGATTGCTAGATAGGCCTACAGTCGATGAAAAATACTTTTTTCTGAATGGTAGAAACATTTATATTTAAGCATATAAATCTCAATTTCGAAAGCTAAATCTTATTTGTTTAATTTACCATGGCAAATTAATAATTAAAACATGGATATAGGAGAAATTTAGCAAATCTGCCTAATATATACATAAAACATACATTATTAAATAGCCCTAATATATATTTTATGAAAAAATATGATTAAAAAGAGTTTTCAAAATATCTTAATTTGTAAAAGCTTATCAATTACCTTAATTATTATGTTACAAAATTTTTTTTTTCTATGATCGCATAAGCTGGCAGCTATGTACGAAAATTGAACAATTTAAAATTATTTTAATTGTTATTTAGTTACCGTTTTAACCATTGTGGGGTGCAATGACTTCTGTAGTGGCATCTATATTGGATCACGTTAATTTTATTTCTCCTTAAAATTAACTACAAATATTTTTTCAAACTTTAAAAATAAAAGTAGTAGATACAATAAGATAATTTTGGAAAGCATTGAATGCTTTTATTTTTAACCCATTTAAAAAATTACCAACTTTTCCAACTATAATCGAGAGATTATAATTAATTTCATCAAAATTTATGCTTTAACATTTACAGATATTTAACAAAAAAATACGAAAATTTCTATGCTAACTATGTAAGCAATCTCTCTTTTAGCAGCAAGTGTTTTGGAAGATTTTACAGGCCAAAACTGATGGCACTGTTTGAAATATCACGCTTAAAGCTTTCAGATATGGTGTGATTTTTACCCATGCAAAATTTGCCTCGATCAAAATTTTAGCGTCGGATCATAAGCGTAGGAAGTTTAAAATTGATGTCTTAAAATGATGTCACTATATAATTAAAAAAGCATTCTACTATAAATAGTGCAATTCTATAGAATGATTTCAAAATTGCTGGTACTGAACTTTGTAATTAAGTTATTTAATTCCTCTCCTTACTTTTTTGGTTCCGCATTTTGCATGGGTACAAAGGACACCTGGTTAAATTTATTTTTAGTGGTAGCTATGTAACAATTGATTTCACAAGTTTGCGAACGCTTAATGAATTTCAAGTAATTGTTATAACTAATCCACTTTATTTAACCCTTTAACGGGCCCTTTATTTCTAGTAAAGGTAAATTAAAGTATTTTTGGAATTGAAATTGTTTTAAGAACAGTAATTGATATAAAAAAAAAATTTCATTTAGTTTATAAAAATGCTATTTTTTTGGTGGTAAATATATTTAGCATGACCTATTAGGAACTTACTGACTTTTATTTTTCTTTATTTATAAAATAAATTCCTTAAATGCTACAAACTTCAAAAGGAATTATGTATTTTATAACTTTTATACGTTTTTTAAAAGTGTCAAATGGTTACCAATTTTATTCAAACTCACTTCAAGAAAGCTGAAGTTATTGAAAAATGGAAACCTAAATTAAAAGTGGTAAAACGTGGTGGTAAGTATACTTACCACGACCTTCAAAAGGGTTAAATTATTTATACAGAGTGATAGTCAGAATTATTCTAAATCAATTAAGTCAACTTTAACAAAGATAAAAATACAGCGCATACATTTGTTCCGTTATAACGATGTTACATAAAGTCTCGTTTTCTGTTCCATTGACGAAATCGAATTTCAACGCCAATTAGAACTTCCGAACCGTTCCGTTCATTCCAATCTAGTGTTCGAAATTTTGTATCATGTTTTTTCAATTCCCAGAAAACCTTTTCAAAAACAGGTGTTAGACATTTTTACACTTTCAAAACTGGCATCATTGATAACTAGTCAAACGATAACAAAAATCTCAAGAAAACTATTCAACCCACGATTTCTTTCAATGTTATCGCTCAATAAACATGAAACATCCTGAATGAACTCTATGAATGAAGTGTGACAGGACCCCACCTATTTTAAACCTAGGAGGTCCATGGGTGAATCTATGGTCAAAAGAATTGTGAAATATGGATCATTGCTGGGGATTAAGTATATATCGCAACGTCGTTAAGAAATCGGAGCTTCGTGTATAATTATTGCCTTTCAAATTTTTTTTTTTAAAGAGTTCAATATATTCATCAATCGTATTTTTTTTGTTCGAAAATGGTATTCAACTCTTTCTGTGAAGCGTCGGAAAGGCAGTTTATTTTGGAGTTAAAACAATCAAAGCTTTGTTGGAGTTTTTTTTAATAATTTTTCTCATTTTCTAAACGTATATTATTTTAGCGACAATGGCTGCAAGTAACTATTGTAATGCTATATGCTTAGTGATCGGAAAAAAAAACGCAAACACACTTTGTTTATAATAATTAAAAATCGTGAAGCAATTCTACAAGCAGAAGAACAAAATATTCTAAATCCATGACATTGATCTTATGAAGCAAAATTTCAAAATCAACAAAACACTGAATTACTGGTTAAAGCTTATGATGAATATAAAAAGATGTTATTTAAAAAAAATGTATGAGTATTTTTTAACCCTCAATGCACTATATTAAATAATCCTTTTACGTATATCGACATAAGAAAAACTGCGTAGTAATCAGTTTCATAATTTTATTTAAAATGTTGCATGCTTTTTCTCAAATAATTCCAGAATTTCTGAAATATATTAAGTATGTATTTGCATCTATTTTATATTGTCGCAAAATGGTGACTACTCGTTATAACGTCCGTTTTCGTTTGGTACCCTCAGGAGTCGATATATGAAGAGTTCACTATATTAAAAAAAAAGAAAGAACAAAAAATGAAATTTTCGTCAATATCAGACGATGTAAATCAAACAAAGATAAATTATTTACGTATACTTTTGTTATAATTTTAAACTTAAAAAGAGAATCTCCCGTAAATTTCATTAGATTTGGCAGTTGTGACATAAGTGTTGATAAATTACAGTTTCAAAATTAAATTTAAAATTTAGCATATAATTTCAAAAACAATTATTCATCATGTATAAACCACGTCACAATCGCATTTTAATTTAAGCACAAATTTATATTAAGATACAAAATGCTAAGTGAAGAGCGACTTGCATCCGTTTATTAATCGCTCTTAAATGCTGGGTTAAAATGGTAGAATTCTGCTCTAGTTTGCCAAGGAAGATGTCTCCAGATTTGAGAACTCCACAATAAAGTGGAGAAATTTCTTAGGACTTATTATTTTTAATTTTATCTTAAAAATATAATAATTAAAAATCTGTCTTTAAATGCTATCGTGCAGCTCATTCCTATTTGCATTCTCTTTCTCAAATTAAATTCATTTTCAGAAGATTAAACTTTGTTTTAACTTCACGAATTTAAACATTCAGTAATGAAAATCAACGAAAAACTTGAGGAAACAATGGGTATATAACAAAATTTCAATTTAATCAACATTTAAAATAATAATAATAATAAATAAATTTTGATTGTTATAGTTTTATACATACTATTCCAATACTAAGGAATACAAATTATAGCATAAATTTTATATAGGAAATTAACAATACTTGCTGAATTGATATTGGCTAAATGGTCAGTATTACGCAACTTTTTATTTTCTTTCTATTCCATAGGAAGAGTAATATAAATTTATGACTACAAAATAAAAAAAATCATTTTAGCATATCTTTCGTTACACTTTCCTTTTTACTTGTTTTTCTTTCCCCCTTTCTTTAAAAAAAAAGTTAAGAAAAAAGGGTTCGAAAAGCATCTTAATTTCGAAATAATGTTTTTCTCATTCGGGAACCTCCCTTGACCGTTGGCGTCCCCGAGGACGGCTTGTTCAACAATGTACCCGTCCTCCTTTGAAACTNGATTTATATATATATATATATATATATATTTCCTCCAGCTATTTCAATAATTCAGATATAAAGGTGGGCAAAATTCTTTTAAGTCTCCGAAAATTGTTTGTTTAATTGTTGTCTCACTGCCACTTTATTTGAGCGTGAAAGGCTGAAAAATTAAGATTGACAGTGTTAAATTATGTTGGACTCTCAGGATTTTCGGAGTTGTGACTTTCCAATAATTCGGTAATGAGAAATTTAAATTTGCTTAATTGAGTATAAATTAATCTGTTTTAAATTCTAAACTGAATAAATTTCTATTAAAATTTATTTGCTTGTGTTATTAACAAGTAGACATTAATCAGGGTTCATACAGGAAATTTAAAAAGTGGTGTTTATGACAGATTCATTTTTTGTAGCCTTTACTTTAAAGTTAAAAATACAACATAATTAAGGATGGCACGGGGGATTTAGAACGTAAGAAGTGGTAAAAACTCATATTTATTTATTTAATCTGCTAAATTATTCAATCGTATCTACCACCATGACTTACATTGCAAATTATTAAAGCAACTTTTTCTAGCATATTTCTTTTAGTTTACTTTGAAGGAAATTGTAAAGATTTTTTTCGTTT